CTAATCTTCACACCCATAAAAACCGCACCAACCAGTGACACAGACTGGAGAAGCCTTGAGAGGATTTTCTTTCCTTCCTACTCTGTTCTGTGGGCTTCTTTCATTTATGTGTTTACCTATTGGCTTTTTTTTGTGTGTGGGGGGGGGGATGGGAGTTTTGAGCCAAAATAGTGACTTCATTAACCATCTCCTGGGTCATCAAAGTCTCTGCAGCAAATTAAAAAAAATAAACTTCATGGAGCTCCAGTGATGCTGTCCAAGATGGTAGAGAGCCCCAACTTGCATGGGCAGTATTGTTCAGAGATCACTACGTATTTGCCGTCGACTGGTTGACTCACCTTGGAACAGCACTGGATCTTAAGTCTGAGACCTTGCTTCTGGAGCTATCCAGAAGGGAAGGCATTAGGAAGTGGCCCAATATTTTGCTAAAGCCACTCTAATGGCACTCATCAGCCCTCCTCCAAAGGTGAGAAGTTTCTTTTCAGGTCTTCCCAGATCAATAGACTAAGCCCCCAGGGCCTAGTTCTTCCCAGTCTGCAACTTCCTGAATCGCCCAAGTCCTGTCCCTCTTCTTTCATACAGGACACTACCGAGAGAGGGTGGATCACCAAGCAGAGGCTGGTACTTACACCCCATCTGGACGTACATGGGAAGACTGGGCTTAGCTTGTATGTTTAAGGTAAAGGAGGAAGAAGAAAGGAGGTTGAAATCTAACTAAAAATATTTTAGCTCTGATTTTTGGCAATATCATTTTTTTAAAGAAAAACTCCTGTTTTTCTTTAAAAATTATTTTTTTAATTTTAAAATTAAAACCTCACTGAGAAATTAAAAATCTCACTGTTAATCTCCAGTGCTCAGAGAATAGCACTGAGTATGTTCTGAAAAGCTTTAAATGCTGGCAAAGGTTTTATTAATCCTTCAGTGGGACAGAAGTGAGTGTCTATTTTGTCCCCTTTGCAATGGCCATCTGATTGTAATTAAGTTTATCTTCCAACTGTAGGTCAGAAATTAGGTAGAATAAATGTCCATGTTTATCCTTTTATCATCCACAGGATAGGAAGTCTTGCATGTACATCAATGTGTTCTGCTTGCTGGGGACAAAGCCCATAGTGCATGCTGAGGGCAACTGATATCCTATATCCAGCTGGGAATTTCCCCAAAGGCACAGACATTGTCTTTAACCTGCGTCTCTGGTATTTTATGCAGCAAGGCAGCATCCATCTATGATCTCCCCATATTTCATAAGTTTTATTCAAGAGCCCAAAATGTAAAACACACTCAGACAAAATGAAAGAGAGCAGGCCTTTCTGCTCTTCTTGATCACAGAATTGGCATTTCCTGGTTAATGGTAGGAAAGTCAAAGTGTTAGTCACTCAGTTGTGTTCAACTCTCTGCGACCCCAGGGACTGCAGCCCACCAGGCTCCTCTGTCCATGGGATTCTCCAGGCATGAATACTGGAGTGGGTTGCCATTCCCTTCTCCAGGGGATCTTCCTGACCCAGGGATCGAATCCAGGTCTCCTGCGTTGTGGGCAGATTCTTTATCATCTGAGCCATCACTTAACTAAATCAATAGACCATTTCAAAGTTGATATTACCAAAAATCAGGGGTACATTCTACAAACAAGGTGAAGACAGAAGACCAGAGATCAAAAATATGAATATGAGAAGTCATATGAGTTAAATGATCATAACTTTAGCTACACATAGCAAGTACAGCACTAAGCTGCTTCTAGGGAGGTCAGATACATTTTAATATCTGTATGAAAGTGAAAGTGTCAGTCACTCAGCCGTGGCCGACTCTGTGCAACTCCGTGAACTGAGGCCCAGAGGGCTGCCATTTCCTTCTCCAGGGGATCTTCCCCACCCAGGGATTGAACCTGGGTCTACCTGCATTGGAGGCAGATTCCTTACCATCTGAGCCACCAGGGAAGCCCAATCTGTATGAAACACTTATCCTATTGTGCAAGCATTTCACTTATGCCCATTCAAGAAAGTCATTATTGATTTCACTATTATTTTCTCTAAGCAATATAAAAAAGTAAGTTTTGAATAGTTCCAAGACAGAAGTCTTTCAAACAGTAAATGTTTGAGTAAAACCAGATGCTATAAATAACACCCAAAATTGCTTGGAAAGTATTTCTATAATAGACAAGCTAATTCAGTTTAAAAGGCTAAACTGATAGCTCCATGTAAACATAGCCTATGGGGTTGGGTGGGAGGAAAATGTTTAGGTTCTAAAAAATGATATCATATATATATATATAAGTTTATATATGCATATATAAACTTATACCTTATACCATATATATATAAATTTATAAATTTTGCCTTGTGAGAACAGGAACAAATATTCTTCAAAGGAACATACTTTATAAAAGATAAGATAGGTGGGGTGTTGATTTCAGGGTATTGACAATACCTGTCAATTTCAGGATATTGACAGTCTAAGAATTTCTCTGAGCATACCAGCTAAACACTGATTCTCCTCTATCTCAAATAATGAGTTCTTATTAAGTTCCTTAAAGATACACCACAGGAAATCACAAAAGTTCATGTTGAGATAAATAAGTTACATAGTTATAGGCTTCTCCTAACTCTGATAACACCAAGCCATTTTACATATTGTAGGATTCCTGAGCTTTGTCAATTCACTTTCTCCATTGGCCCTCAACAGCCTTTCTTCCAGTAACTCTCCTGTGTTCCACTGAACATGTCTTTGTCCCTGATATTCAGCCTTTACCTTTGTATGTTTACTTCCTACTGCTTCCTGTCTCCACTGGCCTATCCTCAGGGAGAAGAACTGCATGCACACAACCTTCTCTTTCTTTAAAAATGTATCACAGCAGGGTAGTTTTCTCATCCCCCTTCCCCCAGACAACTGGCACTGCCTGCCTTAGCCACGTCTCATCCCCCCACCAGCTTCGCCAACATCCTGTTCCCTTATTGTACGTGTAGAACAAAGGGGAGGTTTAAAGACAACAGCGTGAGTGTGCTGCCACCAACTTTTCTTTTTCTTCCCCAGGACACCACATAAATCTCGATACCATTTTGAAGATAAAAATCAAGGGGCTATACTGATAAGCCTCGAGTTACAGGGTTTAACAACTGAGGACTCAGAAATAATCTCTTCTCAATGTGATTTTCCAGAAATTCATTAATGTCACATTTTCAAAATTTGTTTCTTTGTCGGTACATTTTGTAGAATTTAGAACAGTGAGAAGCTTAAATGTTGCAGTTAAAAATAATCAGTTAAAATGGCACTTTAATATCTAGACAATAAACGATGCAGTGATGTGACTATTATGTTGCTCCATTTTTTTAAAAAAATGGTTTTTGGTTCTTGCACACTCAGTTCCCATTTTTTTCTGATTTCAGGCAGTTAGTTCAGGAAGATATTTTTGATTTTAGATATCTTTTCTATTAGTTTTATGATTCAATTATTAATGGAATGGCCAAAAGAACCTTTGATTGTACATATAAATATAACCATATACTATGATCTGATAACATCCTCAAATTTACAATAAAAATTTAATATACAAAATTGGTTGACCTTTTTTGGAAGTTAGGATATTAGTTATTACTTATATTACTTATAAGTAAAACTATAATATCTTCATTTTAAAGAGAAATATGGTATATATATTAAAATAGCATTATAAAAATGTACTACAGAAGTCTTAGATGACTATACCTCATCTCAGAGGAACAAAGGAAAACCCAAGTCCAAATTAAATATGAATGGGAATTCCACCCTACCACACTCCATGATTCTGAGGATTGCCTTAGAAGCAAAGCCTCCAAAATCGCTGATGGGAACTGTCTCACAGTTTCTCATCCTCTGTTTGGCTCTCTATTGCTGAGCTCATCATTCAGAAAACACCCAGACCAAGAAGCAGTGGGACCACAGCACAACTGTAGGGATGGAGAGGGGGACCCCGGCCCCACTGGGCCCCTTGGTGTTACGTTGCATCAGCATCACGAGGTATAACCACCTACTGAACATGTAAGCACCACAAACATGTTTCAAAAAGTAGTACAAATATTAAAATGCGTTTTTTCCCTCTCAACCCCCCTTTCTCTTCAATCCAAGAATATATGACAAATACATTGATTTCATATGTATATTCTCTATGCTATCTTAGTGGAGCTTCTTCTTCTAGCTTTGCATCTGTTTCCATGTTTCCGTGACTGACAAATTAGTACCACTCTCTACAATTTCAAGGTGAAGCTCTATGAAGCCTCCTAATCTTTCTGCCTCCTTTTCCTAGCTTGACGATTTGATTTGCTTCTAGCATTTTCTCCATCTGCCTAGAAAGTAACCATCAGATATCAGATGACCATTCTAACACTCCAGTAGGTATCATTCTTGATATCTGCAAATATACCTGTGAGTTCTAGGATATTTAGACTGGCATAGAACACTACATGGCTAGAAACTAGAAGGTCAGAAACTTCTCTAACATGTTAAACAATAAGGTCCTAACCACATGGCCTGGGCTTGAAGACTCATTCTAAGTAAAGATTTGGCAAATATCCAGTTGGGCTTTATCCACGCTGAATAAGGCCCAAGTAGTACCCTTTCCATCAACAAGGATGGTGGCTCCCCTAACAAAGCAGTCATTCCGGTAAGTCTTTTCTTCAGGTCCCAGGGCAGGCATCAGCTGTATCGCTTCTTTTCTCAGGGCAGAAATGAACACATGCTGAAACAAGTTTTCTTCTTTTCCACCTTGGGATCTTTCCATTCAGGGCTTTTCACCAGGAAGAGAAGAGATGGGGCTACTATTTAGCCAAAAGCCATTTAAGTGGTGAAAGTAATGTTGAGATGTTAGAGGTTTATGTTCTTCTGACACGTAAATTCCCATCTTTCAATGAGAAAGTGGGACTCAGTTGAAATAGTGGATTGAATTCTTAGTTTCCTTGTCTTTACATAAATTAAAAAAAACAAAACAAAAAAAGCTCTGTTACAATCATACTTTTAACCAGCTAATCTAGCCTTCATCTCTGGCTGAAATTCTTCTCCAGCCAACGCCGGACTTCTTGCAGGTTGTAAAAGAAGGGGCCCTTTCCTCCCAGATAAGCAATTTTCTGTCTCTGAACAATGCACACGCGTTCAAAGGCTACCCCGTAGGCGACGTTGGCATTATTGTCCATGCGGTCAGCCACAACTCGGCACTGGGGCGGCAAGGAGAAACGCTCCAGGAGCTGGTGGGCTGCTGCGCATCGGTCTTCCTGGCTCCGGTGCTTCTTTATCTCGAAAAACAGAGAAGAATCCCCAGGCACCGCCCAACCATCTGAAGGATGAGCCTCGTCAATGTAGACCAACAGGAAGTCAGCCACGGACGAGAACTCTTCCACCAGTTTGCTGAAGGCTGGCAGCTGGTTAGTGAAAGGAGGTCAGGTGGCCGAGCCGAAGTTGACCACCAGTGGGCGCTCAGGGCTGGCGAAGTCCAGAAGGTGGCACTCCGTCCCATCCGCTGTTCTCGCCTGGGCACCACTTCCGCCGGCGTCACCTCCTTCCGGACTGGAGACACGCACCACGCTGGAATTGGGGGCATCTTCACCCAATTTCACCTGGCGATGGAAGACGAAAGAGAGAGGCAATACCACGTGAAACACGCGCTCACTTCACTCTGTACAGAAACAGTTGGCTCTAATAAAATGAGCTATTTCCTTCGGAGGATATGGTAAACACATATTGACTTGAGTAAAGACCCATCATGGCAGGTAAGGTGATGAATGGCCCTAAAGAGAATAAAAGTCTTTTTCATTCTATCTCGCCACTAAAGGTAATTTTTTCATCACTGAAGGTACTGCAGCTAACTGTCTTCATAATTAAGTTGAGGCTGGTGTTCTTTACTGTCCTTACTCTGTCAGTGCTTAGCTCACAATATATAACAAATGATTAATGGACTTCATTTTAAAAGTGAAAAGTGAATGGTCTGCTTTAAAATAAATGATCAGAGTTGTGGGACATGGCACCTCTTTCTGAATTCCCACTTCTGAATTCTAAAGTACTCAGGAAAGTCCTTTATTTATAGTCTTGCCTAAAAGTCATTTAATCTGAACCAATGGACAAGGATACTGGTGGGCTTATTCTTATCCAGAATGCGAAAACCTGGGGTCTGCCATTTATAAGAAGAGTTACTCCCACTTAATCTCTTAAGTGCTGCAGCTATCCCATCTGTAAAATGGTCATTTATGATGCCCATCTTCCTCGTATGTTTATGGAAAGATGACACAGGGAAAAGAGCTCTGTACACTGTATATCATTGTGGGAGTGTAAGTTGCAATCATAGATGCCATGCAAACATGTGAAACTGAATACCTTTTTTCTGAGTAATTCTATGTTATAATTATTCTTAGAAGTGATTCGAGCTTTCCTTGGTATGACATCCTTTCCAGAGGTTTCTATGGCTACTGCATACTTTGGGGTTCTTTTGACTAGAACCTCGCCATTTCCATTACAGAAACAAATGAATGAAAACATATACTTCTATCTCTTGTAGAATTTGACTTTTAATTTCTCATATTTCATGTGTGTTTTAGTCTGTTTCACTTTTTTATCTCAGAAGTCACAAGCCATTTACTTTCCTACCATACATTTTATTAACAAATTCCTCTGAATTATGGAATACTCGGGCAGAAGAGGTGTAGAGCAAAATTGTTCTAGGTGCTCCCTTTGTATGTGGTTTAAATCATTGAACACAGACTGAAAGAAAGTTTGCTGGCCTTTGAATCTGTAAATTGATAATAAAAAGCAGGCAACATAAAAGAGCCAATTACTTCAGTTTGAATTAACAGAATTGGATCTTCCCCTAGAATGGTTTAATCAAAGCTAATAACATTGAGGACAACTTACAAGAGTATAATTGATATTTATACACTATCCTTAATATTACAAAACACTTCCAACTGGATTCACTTTTCCCCCTCATATAAATACCACTGCATACAACATTGCTGTTAATTGAAGTCACTTACAAGCGAATTGTTAAAAACTCAACAATCTAAACCGATATAAAATTTTCAAGGGGTTTCATGGAGAAGCTTCTACCTGATGTTAATGCATAACTTGTTTTAACTGCAGAAGAAGAAGTCAAGAAATCCTTTATCTCCCTTGTGGAAAATCCTAGCAGGGTAGGTTTAAAACAAGGACTATAAGCTTTCCAAAATAAATCTTAGAAAAGGAAGGTGGTGCTGTGATTGAAATAAATACATTTGCTTTCAGTCACTGTCAAGAAAAAAGTTTTCTTTATATTAATTTTCCTTAATTTGTAAGTGAAACTAGGTGAAGAAACCTAGTAAACCACTTTTAGCTGGACTCTTTTATATGAGCTACATTCCTCTCTTGAGATTTTAAAATGTACTTAAAATGTAAAGATATACATCCTAAAGGTATTATAAACTTTTTATTTTAATCTATGGGTTATTTTTGTACTTCTTTGTAGATTTAGATAAAAGATAGCATCACCTTCTCATTAGATCTTCCCCATTTAAAAAAGCAATAATGATTCTAGGATGGCTGCTTTCAACAATATTGTTGTGCTGTGTTTCTCAACATACTGTGATACAAAGATCTGAATGCATTCAGTCCAGTCTGAATCCACTAGCTATTGTAGCAACTTCTCATTAACTGAGGAGAAGAATCAGGAGAAGAATCATCTCTGGACTGCAGACTTGTAGCTTCCTGGTAGGTGGAAAACATCCACTTGCATTTTGCAGTCATTTCTAAGAACGGAACAATTGTGTTGGCCTTGTGACATGGGCCTCTGATGCACCTGACTCTTACCCAAGCTGAACTGTTGATCCTTGCATTATGCCTGATTCTTCAACTGAGTAATCTAATCTGACCTCAGTCACAGGGACTCTCTTGTTACCTGTAATTTATTTTCTTGGAAAGTTAAATAAAGCACCTTCTACTTCTTTAGTGACAATGTATAGGTCAGCCACATAATTTTTCTCAAAATACAAACATGTTAGTTCAGCTTAGAAAACTTGGAACAAGTACAACACCTCTACTTTAAAATCAAAAGTTAGGATAAGCTACCAGATATATCATGTTCTTTAGTAGGTGTGTTTGGTGGGGGAGGGGGCAGAGGTTGGCATTTTGTTAAACTGGAGAATGATGGATATGTATGCTTGGAATTTTTTGTTGAATAAAGTTTTGAATGAATGGTACGTGTTATCATCTTAGTTAGAGGTCAGTGAAGCATTTTACACTTAATAATAACCCTCACCTACATTGAACATCAGACCTCACTAAGGCAGATGATTTCGAAGGGTAAACCCCCCGGAACCCCACCGTGGAGCACTCTCGCAGGCCACACCCAATGCTGTTGGTCTGTTCTTGGTCATCTCTGCTGGTCATGCATAAAATGACAGTAGCCAGTCCTCTTCATTTTGTAAAGCAGCCACAGGACTTGACTGCAGATTAGAATGTCATAAAAAGAATTATACTTTTGTTCATGAGGGTGATTGGGTAAGAGAAAATGCATAGGTATGCACAATGCTATTACTACAACTAGGAGGGGAAAACACACACCCATGATTTGAAGGGCCAGACATGAGTAGACCAGTAGTCTGCTTTTATAAATGTCATATTCTAATCACAAAATTTGTCTAGTTTTGCTAAAAACTGCTGATATGGGATAATTTAGCAACAATAAAGGAAAAAACTTTTTAAAAAATGGAAGTCTGCTTTAAACTGAAAAAAAAGTCTTTTAGATGGATAGTATTGTTCATTTCTCACCTTCCTATTTGGTCATCAAGAAAATTAAGTTTGTACTATGACCAAAGTTTCAAAGGGTGAATTTCTGAGTTTACTCTGCTTCACACCTTGCTAAGGTGGAATGGGAGAATCACTGCTGTCTTCCATGATGGAAGATTCTTTCCCCAGGAGCAAAACATTCCTTGACAAAAAGCCAAAATGATGAAGAAAATAAAGTTGGTCCATAATAACATTTAGGCTGCAGGAAAGAAGCTCGACAAAAACAAGTTATCCCCTGGTACTCCCAAACTCTGTTTTAATTTCCCACAGTGGCACAGAAAGTCTCCTGGCCACAAGTTACCTATCATCTTAATTTCTCCTTCTTAGAGGGTTTGTGTTTGGTTTTTGTCCTTAATGAGACATATTTGCCAAAGAGGCATTCAAAAGGCATTTTTTACTCTTGCGGAAGAGTAATTAGGTCGGTACCTCTTTCCCTGCCAGCATTAGCCGCTCTAAAGAGAACCCTGCCCAGTATTTAATGCCCAAACACAAGAAGCATCATTTCCACTAATTGGTCTTGAAGTTCCGATGTTCCCAAAGGGTCCCTTTATTTTGCAAGGATCAGAAAGGACATACGTAAAATGTAATATCGTCATCACTGACTTTTATGTCTCTCATCTGCACTATTACATTTGTCCTTTCTTATGTTTTTTTATAATCAACATCAACACAACACCAACAGGGGAGGGAAATAAAGGCTTTGTATTTTTACCGCAGAAGACATCTCTGGGCCAAGCTCAAATGCTGTCATAGCCATATTTATAAATATGAACAAGAGTGTAAATATATGGTGTATATTCGATTCCCTTGATGATCGGATCCCTTTTGCTGACAGTTTTCAGCACATGAGGACAAGGATAATGCTGCTTTAGCATGTGGGCTGTGAAATGCAGGGCGAGGGGAAGAAAAAAGAAAGAACCATTCATCAAGTAGAAGCTGGAAATAGAGCATATACTACTAACCTTGTTTTCCTTCCTTTTCCACAGCCTGAGAAAGGCCTCTGGACAAAATATCACCTAATCTCATGATAGAAAGTAAAGCAAATGATAAAAATGGGGGTAGGTATGTGGCAGGATTCTTTTTACGTCTCCTTCTTGCTCTCCAAAGCCCTGGAATGCCTCTATTAACTATCAGGAAATTTCAAATCCTTTTGACATAATGACCAGGCTACGTCAATATCCTTACAAACGTGGCCAAACAATTATTAAGCAGCATTTTAACCATTTATATTCAAATTGGCCAAATGAATCGGTGGATCAGCTACCTACTCTTTCCTCTGAGTTCAAGTCCCTGTTTGGCCATACTCTTTGTGATTTGTAACTTGAAAACATAGCTCAAAGCTCTATCATTTCCCAGTGTTTTATCCAAGTGATGAACAAACTCTTGCAGTAGCCTGCCTTGTGTTCTTTGGGGAATGTTTGGTTCTTAGAAGAGCCATTTTCCATTATAGAAACGAGTGTCAAAAGGCTGAGGGGAGTGAAGAGGAGGAGGAGAATGTTAAAGAGACCCTTCCAAAACCAAAATTATATGTTCAAATGAATATGTTTTCTGTGCCACAGCAGTATTGACCATGTAGGAGCTAAAGTGCATGTCAGCATCTATACTGTGTGTTTACTTTTACACTTCATTTAGGTAGGAGCCAGCCTCCCAGACAGAGCCGTCTGCTTACTGGTTGTGTTTTTGTGTCTTTGAGCACCAGCACAAGGATGCAGTGTTAGATGCAGTGACACTGACTAGGGAAAGCTTAAATAACAAACATCTATTATGCACCTCAATCTCTCAACAAAACCCATTAGATTTTCTTTTTTCATCAAAATCATGCTTGGGGCTCCCTCTAATCAAACCCAACTTATCTTTATAGGCTTCCCTAGAAAGTTCATTTTAAATCCCATGCAACATTTTAAGGAAGAAGGGTTTTCTGTTTTATTTTGTCCCAATGTTTTTTTTTCATTTCTTTGTTGCCTCCTGCAGAAGCCAAACATAGGGCTAACATTTTTACCGCACTTTCTCTAAATAGCTTCTCAAGTATCTGCCATTCAACAACCAGGAGAGTTAGAAATGCCCTGCCTCATTGTATGGTATGTGCACACTCTACATCCCGGAACACTCTGCTTCTGGGGGTGGCAGCCTCAAGTCAGGATTGTGAAACAGGGTGATACCAAACAGAGACTCCTCCAGTGAGTCTCTAGACATGGCTACACCCAATGACAATGGCCCAGATGACAATAGCATTCGGGGAAGTGATTCAACCCGTTTTAGAAGTTCTGGGTGACCCTGAAATGCCACCACCACCCTTGCTACACTTGGAGATGGAAGAAGACCTAAATTGAGTGCAAGCTGTGTTTACCACGTTTCCAGTCATCACACACCCAGTCCAGTCTTATCTCAGGATGTATGAGTTCTTGGGTTGCTTCTTCTCATGGCAGCTATTACATAAGTCATGAAAACAAACAGCATTACATCAGTCATGAACTTGGTCACTAATCAAATCAGTGGACAGAAAGAGTACAGAAGAACACAAACCATGTGCAAAGAAGAAAACAGATCACTCAAGCTTCTCAGTCTCTTAAAGAAGGAACAACAAAATATTGCAACACAATGAAACACTATACGTTGGTGAAAAAACAAATAAGTGATCAAGTTTATTAAAGAGGCATGTGTTTCCTTTCCTCTTATTTCAATAAGCTGCTGGATAGGAGAAACAGCCTCACTTAACATGGGTGGGTGACATTACAACCTCCATATTTTATGTGAGGGTATCTATGGATATAGGTAAAATTCTCCAAAGCAGTGGTTTCTCTTGTATGGCAAAAGTCAATGACTTTCAAAACAGGAAGAGTTTAATAGAGATCGAATAACTGACACTGCCAGGTTATCTCCTAACACCTAGGAAAAACAGATACAGGTGAAAGAACTTCCTAATTCATAATACACCTGACACATTTGTGTAAGCCCCACTCTCCTCTAAATTCTCTACCCACCAAAATGAACATAAACATTCAGTATATACATGTGTGCAAAAGAAGTGATCATCTCAATAGCTCCTTCCCACATCACCCATTCAGCCCATGTACATAATATAAAATGAGGTGTTAGAACTTTGAGTATCATTTAATATTATTATAAAGAAAATTTCACTTACTAATAAGCGCTCTTAACTATTTTTCTATCTTTAAGACAACAAATACAAACCCTCTGCAGGTTACTACCAGTAACAAAGACAAGTGTCAGAGTCAAACTTTCCTAATTCACCATGAATATTTTCTTCTTAAACATTTGTTTAATTTTCAGTGGAAGGATCCTACTCCAGATTCCTTGTTACTAGAAATGACTTCCTTTCCTATGCTGGTGCAGAGATATTTTTTAATTTTTTTTTATATTGGAGTATAGTTAATTAACAATGTTTTGCTAGGTTCAGGTATCAGCAAAGTGATTCAGTTATACATATAGATATACCTATTATTTTTCCAATTATTCTCCCACTTAGGTTATTACAGAGTATTGAGCAGAGTTCCCTGTTCTATATTATAGGCCTTGTTGATTATCTGTTTTATAGACAGCAGTGTGTACATGTCAATCCTAAACTCTCAATCTATCTTTCCCCCCAACCATTCCCCCCTGGTTACCGTAGGTTCATTCACTAGATTTATTTTTCTAGTGTTTATTTATAGAGGACTCATTCTCTTCTTCCTCTTATTCTAGTTTTCCAGCTCTGTTTCTGAGGTTCTGCCTATAATACATCACCTCACTAGTTCCCATCTTCCGCTTAAAGCCCCTTCCCCAGCATCTCAGGCAAGGTCCCTCCATACTGTTGGGGAAATCAAGGATGTCTGCTTTGATAGTAGCTTTTATGGGATGAGTCAATTCTCCCTAAGCTCAGGGACCTTCAGGAATCACACGGGTGTAGGCAGAGGGAGCAAACTCACAAAGGACCCAGTGCCCTTTCCTCTTTGCCCTTAAGATCTGATCCAAGGATGCTCCACCACCTTGAAGTAGCATTCTTCACTTGGAAACAAACACCTCTCTGGTTTTGAGAGGGCAGCCCCTGGGACATGGCTTCGGCAGGTAAGTGAAGCCACTACTCTAGGGTTCTAGGCACCAGTTATAACAGCTTTGAGACTGTTGTGAACCTTAGACTTATCTGCTCGGTCTAAAGGCAACCTGCTTAAGTTTTGAGAAACAAAGCAAATGTGGTTTCTCGAACAAAGCCTGGATGGTTGACAGCTTGTTCTCAGATCTTTCCTTTTCAAACAGATACCGAGTTAACTCCAGACTCAGTGCCGGATAACTGCTTCAAAAGGCTGAAATCCAGATCAAGGCAGGAGATGAGGGGCATACAGACTTGCTCCCATTAACTCTTACTTCTACCAGGAATGAAGCTGCAACCAGCTGAATCACACCTGCTCTGTTATTCCCTTAAATCTTGTCAGCTCTCTGAGAGTTCTGCGTGGTGTTGTCTTTCTTTCTCCCTGCTTTTTAGTGCCCACCCATTGAACAGTCTTTCCTAAAGTCTCACGGAGCCTCTCATCAAGCAAAACATCAAGACTGCCAGTTCATGATGAGAGCAGAATAAAGGCAGGGATCTGCCCTCCCTGGACACCTTTCTGACGTTTCCCAACCTTATTCTACAGGCACAAATACCCTCTGCTCCCAAGTCACAGCAAGCCACTCCTGACTCCTTCTGAAGTCACACAGTCACTGGGACTCAGTAATATCTGTCATCCCCAGATTTCAGGTGTGCGATCATGCGACAGGTGAAGAGAGTAAACACCCAAGCACCACCCTAGGGCCTCCAGAGCGCTCACCCCCCAGCTCCTGCGGGCATCGGGTCCCCTCCAGCATCTCCACCTCCCGCCCCCGCCGGCCCTGCAGAGGAGCCCCTGGAGCGCTGCTCACCTGTTTGTAGGCGTCGAGGAGGAAGCTTTTCCAGATGCAGCGCATTCCTTCTGAGGTCAGCATGCGCCTCCACTGCCCGCGAGCGGACTTGGAGCGGCTCAGCAGCAGCACCACGTGCTTGAGGAGAATGACCGAGTCATAGAGCGCCAGGAAGAGGCAGTTGGAGAAAAAAACTGGCAGAATCTGCAGTGTGATCAGCAAGTCTACGCTGAGGATGCCCATCTTCTCTGCCTCCCGGGTCAGTTCCCTTGTGCGCTCTGGTTCCCCTTCACCCTCTTATTTAAAAGGGAGGGGGGGTGGTGATGGAGAGGGGTGGGGGGAGGTCGGGGGTGGGGGTGGGGGGTAGGGGGAGAGAAGGAGGAAAACTAAATTAAAAAAGAAGCCCAAGTTGTCTCCTTTTTCAAAGAAGCAGAAATGGCAAGACCAAGTTCCAGTCTCTCCAGCCCAGCAGTTGGAGTGTGCCCATCAATTCATTCAATTCGGAGCTGCTGCTTTTTTTTTTTTTTTTCAGGATTTAAGATGTTAAAAAAAAAACAAAAACAAAAACAAAAAAACTGGCGTACCGGTCCCTAATCCAGTTACCCTCTCAGAGTCGGTTAAAGACAGGCAGTTCTACTTTCATTTCTAAGCACCTATGAGACTGTGGCAGAGATTGCAAAATTTTCTGTAGCTTTTCATTGTCTCTGTGTTCAGAAAAGTAGCCCGTTTCTTTCTAGAATTGCCAGAGTTTTGAAAATGTGCTTTCAGGGTAGTTTTTTCCCTTCTTTACTCCGTTTACACACACTTTCTGTTCTTCTCCAGCCTGTCTCACTCTCTCCCTTCCCCAGGAGCGTCTGACTCCTCTTTGCCTGACTCCCTCTGGCTCCTTCCTGCTCTGTCTGTGGTGCAAAGTGCCTCTCTCTGCAGCCCAGTGAGTCTCCCTGAAGCCTTTTATACATTCCCTGGCTAATTGCTGCAATAGAGAAATGAAAGCCTAATCTTGGTAAAGATCTTGACGTCATTGAGAAAGAGGGCTTTACTTTGGCCAGGACTGCAGTGAATAGAAAAGCAAAACTCGACAAGTTTTTTTTTTTTTTTTAAGAAGGGGGGGGGTGGCAGAGGGACAGTGGAATTTTGCTTTGTGATTTAAAGAGAGAGGAAAAAATTAATACCTTTGAGGGTTTTCAGGAAATGCTCCCAAACTTTGGGAAAAGTTATTTAATATAGCATGTGGGTTGATGGGGAAACTCTCCTCTGATTATTATTATTGTTCTCATTTATTTATAAGGGGTTTGGGAAAGAAAGGTTCCTGGAAGGCAGGTAGAAAAGAGGAAGAGTGATCACACATGATCTCTATTCTCTTTCTTGGAAGATGTGAATGCTTACCTTCCACCTTTATGTCTACATCCTACAACTATCTCCCGTCAGATTTGTGACCTAGGTTCTTTAAATATTTTTGAGTCATGATCTTATTTAAGAAAATCCAAACTGTGAGGTGGAAAACTTTTAAACTCTTTGAATACCATCACAGCACTTCTTTAAAGCTTCTTGTAGAGAATTAGTGCAAATTTTCTTTTCCGTTTTACTGAAGTTTCCAATGCAAAAAAAGAAAGAAAGAAACAAGAAAATCTTCCACCCATGAAAGTAGCTAGGTGACCAGACTTCCTTCCCATTCCATTTTGCCTAGATGCAGATTAAATAAAACTTTTATCTAATGGCATTAAGATGCCATCAGAGTAAGAAATACATTCTTTATAAGAGAGCTCTTTAAATTCTGCAATTGCCCTGTTTCTGTTAGCATAAACCCTAAGAGACATAATACTTTGGGGACTCTTCCTTTTTGCTTGAAAAAATTTTAATTGAATTTGTAGGTTGTTAAGAGCGGACTTTGAATTGTCTCGAGTCACACTGACCATGCTCAGTGCTTGCTTTGCGCATCGCCTTCTGAACAGACAGGTACTTAGTCAGACAATGCTTTGGCAGAATGCCATGAACTCCATCTCATTCTAATTTTCTTTTCTCACTCACCTAACAGATCACCTCTAGGAATTATATTTTCTTGGAAAAAGGGGTGGCAAGTACAGACCTTGGGGTGGGGATATAGAATGGTAGTTGAAAATTAATTTTCTGACTTCTCCATGTTCCAGGAGCTCTCCTTAAGCATGAGTTAAGCAGTGGGTGCAAATACATGGTCCATGTCTGTGTTCTGTCCCTGTGGGTAAAATCTGCAAGATCACGGAACTCATTCAAAAGCCTAGGGCTGGGGTCATTATTTAGTGGATCCATGGGCCAAATTCAGCATGCATACGCACTTCATCTGGTTGGCATAGTGCTTTTTGGCTTTAAAAAGTAATTGAATGAGAATGCCTCTAGGTTCTGAGAGACCAGAGTTTTCTGTCTGTTTTGTTCATTGCTATCTCCTAGCAGGTAGAACCATGCCTGGCAAACAGTAAGTTCAAGGAAGGTGTCTTGAATGGACAGATGGGCTGGGCATACATCGCTCCACACTAGGGGGCACTATTCACATACAATATGTTGTGACCCTGACTGGGGTGCTCCAAAGTTTTGTCCAAGCTGGTGGACTTGGGGGTGGTCCTCCCCATTGGCACAACCCTCACCACTCCCTGTTGACCTAAACACCTGATTCCTTAGTCTCTATCATCACTTTAGCCCGTGGCAAGTGTTGGATTTGCGTCACATGGACTGAATTTTTGGAGAAGAGGTTAAAGCTTAGAAAAATGAAGAGAAGTCACGTAGAAAAATATTTTTCCTGTGACGAGCACACAGTGTTAGCAAAGGGTATTACTTGTATACATAATATACGTTCACTCCATTCTCTCAGTTTTCTCAATGCACTATGGAAGAAAAGAAGGGAAGTGACAACAAGGTATTTTACCTGGTGTAGATGGGAAAACGATGGTGCCCGAAGTGCCAGCGAACAATGACAGAAGCTGTGGACTCAGGAAGGGACACTGCCACTGAGTGCCCAAGCCTGAAAATTTCACCCATTCTCAGACATTCCTTTTGCCCTGTGTGAATTAAACCAGTGCTACTTTAAGGTAGAGATATCTTGGCAGCTACGAACCAGTTCTCCCTCACTTGTCATTTGCTTTCAATGCGAGTTGTATGTTTGGAAATGGCAAGGCAAGGAAAAGGTTTGGTAGAAAATCAGAAAAAAAATGCCTTCTTTTAAAATGCAAAGCTCAGGGCACGTGCAGACTATAAATGGTGAAAATCATTTTTTTTTCTTTTTTACATTCTTTATTTATGGTCTTTCCTATAAAATCAGAAGTGTTTGAGCAGTTTTTTTTTTCCTAAAAAAATTAGAAGAACAAATTGGCAGATAGCCAATCTGATCATGACATTTCTCAGATTTCTTCTATCACTTTCTCTAAATGAATGAATATATAAATCACAAAACCAAGCACTGTTCTTTTTAGACAGTCTGTCTAATTTAGAAATTGTATTTCTCCAAAGCTATTTCTCTTTTTATTATGATGCATAATGGCTTATTCTAATTAATAATATTTAGCACTTTGATCTTCAAGTAATTTTATATCCTTTAAGTGACAAAAACAACCCATAAGGTGCCAGAGGATGATTTGGCCCAACATATAAAAGAGAGAAAGTAAATCGTCAAGGTTGTAGAGCCCGAGCTGGTATTGGGATATTTCCCCCAACTCTAAACCACAATTATTTTCCTATGTGACTACTTTATTGATCCTGGTCATTACTCTGAAAATGAAAACCCTTGCCCAAAGTGGCTGCACTAGGTAATTTTACCTTCTGAATTACAAAGGATATCTGGGATTCCATATCTGTTTAATATCACCCAACTCAAGCTCTTGGTTCCATTCGAAAAGCTTGGATAGCTTCTTGATCACATAAGTGTTATTAGCCTTAGTGGTTCAGTGGTAAAGAATCCATCTGCCAAGGCAGGAGATGTGGGTTTGATCTTGGGTGAAGAAAATCCCCTGGAGAAGGAAATGGCAACCCACTCGGGTATTCTTGCCTGGAAAATTCCATGGACAGAGGAGCTTACCAGGCTACAGTCCATGGGGTCACAGAGAGCCACACGACTGAGTGGCTGAGCATGCAATGCAAGCCAATGTGTGGTATGTTGGTTGAGTTTCCCCACACAATACTGTACACAGATTTTAAATCCTAAATAGAGGTAGCTAGAGAAATGTGATTTAGGCTTTTTAATAAGAACCACTATAAAATTGTTGAATTTTTTTTTTCTCTTTTCATAGCTCAAGAGCATTCATTGCCTCCTTCTGGTTGGAAAAGTAAGCATCCGAGTGATAAGGCTTCCTTTGGTCTACTTTTGACTCTTAAATTGAGATTAAGAGGATGAAGTTGGATAACCTAAAAGCAGACCTGGAGATTTCAAGGATGGAATTTACAAAGAGTTACCACTCTTTGTTATCTGAAGACATCCAAGGGCATTCAAGAAGTCTATGGAATTCATGCTGCAGATTTTCAAGCAGTCTTAGTTTCATAAAATTGTATTCCTTCTAATTCAAGTGATTTGCTAAAATGATTTTAAATGGAGATTAAATTTTACTTTCACAAAAAAGCTTGTCTAATCAATATATTATAAATCCAATAATGTCTGGTCAGGACAGGTTGCACTGATTCTGGTCTGGGAATGTGATTGCCATATATACACCCACCTGCCAAGAGTGCATTTCAGAGAAGGAAATGACAAACACTGTCATTATTTAGTTGCTAAGTCATGTATGACTCTTTGAGACCCCATGGATTGCAGCCAGCCAGGCTCCACTGTCCATAAGATCTAGATTTCCCAGGCAAGAATACTGGAGTACGGTGCCCTTTCCTCCTCCAGGGGATCTTCCTGACCCAGGGGTCGAACCTGTATCTCCTGCATTGGCAGGTGGATTTTTTTTTTTAACTGCTAAGCCACCAGGGAAACCCGGCCGCCACAACCTTCCACCCCTGGTGACTCCTGGCTGTGCTGAGAGGGAGTTATAATGAAGGGTTTACACCACAATGGCTGAATCATTCAGAATTCCCTGTGGGCCCATCCATTCTACGAACAGTCGTGTTCCCTGCCTTGTGATGAAAGGAGAGGCTCAGTGGATAAAATAGACACCCCCAGAGTCAATTCTGACACACGGGGGCGGGCACTGCGGGAGGGATGAGCAGTCTACCCCAGCAGCCCAGCCGTGTTGTAGGCCCCTTGGCAAACCCTGGCAGAGGGCACTGTCTGAGGTGTTAAG